AGAGAGAGAGAGAGAGAGAGAGAGAGAGAGAGAGAGAGAGAGAGAGAGAGAGAGAGAGCGTGAGAGGGAGAGAGTGTGGTGGGGGGGAAGAGGTAGAGGAGGAGGAGGAAGAGAAGAAGGAAGAAGAGGAAGAGGAAGAGATGTAGAAGAAGGAGAAGTATAATAGAAGATGATAAGAAGATCAAAAGGATTGTGATAGTAATATCATTGTTGGATATTATGTGTGACGATGAGTGAAAGAGATTTCTTGTGGCAAGTAACAGATATTGATCTCACCCAAGTCTGTAGACGATCCTTGACGGGATGAAGGAAGTTCTGGTAAGTTACTCACGTTGTTGGGGGTGAATTCATCCGCTTCCTCTACAACTGCCATCTTGTCCTCGTTCTCTGCGTTTGAACGCTCGGCAGGTTGCTGAGAGGAGAAGAGAGGAGAGGAGAGGAGAGGAGAGGAGAGGAGAGGAGAGGAGAGGAGAGGAGAGGAGAGGAGAGGAGAGGAGAGGAGAGGAGAGGAGAGGAGAGGAGAGGAGAGGAGAGGAGAGGAGAGGAGAGGAGAGGAGAGGAGAAGAGAAGAAGCAAAGGGTCAGCAGGCGCACATCTCCAATCATATCTCACAGCTTCTTGTTGCTCATGCTTCTTCTTCGGAGTCGATCTCAAGGAGGGAGGCCTTGCGCTGTTCCTTATCAGGGAGATCTCTCTTTTCATCACCTCCGCATCCTCGTCGATGCTCTGAACCAACTTGTTGATAGGATGAAGGTCCTTCTTCACTGACAGTGGGATGGCCTGGAAGGGAGTTTCCCGCAAGGAGACCCACTGGTCAAACTGTTTACCACGTTGTCAACTGCGTTCACTCACAAAACTCTGACAGTCTCGTACCTGTGAGCTCTCACCAACACAGTGCAGCCTGACATTCTCTCCGGACTTTGTCAGTACCTGCGTCAACCTCCACTTGCCCCGCAGGAAAGCCCGGACGCGCATCCCAACTTCTACCTGCTGTAGACCGCTCTCTCCCCTCCTCTCCTCTCCAAACTTCGCCAGCTTGCTCTCCCCGGGAACATCTTCGTTTCCTCCTTCTCCCTCTTCCACTTCCTGCCTCCCAAACGCCTCTTGCACCTTGGTCGCGCGCTTGTCAAGCGTCTCCTCTGTCCCTACTGCGAGCATAGAGATTCTCGACATGCCCTTCACCCTGAGCTTCTTCGCCCCCTGCTCCCTCATCGCCGCTCCTGGTCCCGTCTTAGGACTTGATGGGTCAAACGCCTTGACGGAGCTCCCGGACGAGTTCTGGACAGAGAGCTCTCCCATCTCCTTGTCGGCTACGACGCTGTTCCCTCTCGCCTTCGGGCTGGCCTGCAGCTTCGAGAACAAACTCCGACGACGAAAGCTCGGCCTGTCCGTCACTGCCCGCATTGCCATCTCGTCCATGGCGCGCTCGAACGCTGTGAAGCCCCCCTTCTTTGGCGCGCGACTGCTCTGCATCACAAACCTTGTGCACGCGGGAGGTGCTCCCTGCCAGAGGGCAGGAGGTAGAACCTTCCCCCCTCCTTGTTCTGCTTGCTGCATGACAGTGATGTGGTGGATTGCTCAACTCAATGTAGTTGGAGGTAGCAATCTCTTGTCTATCTGATCATGAAAGCACCTTTCTCTCTCTTCTCCTTTCCTTCCAACATGTTTCAACGGCACACGGTGAGTATCACCGGTGGTGGTCAAATCGTTAGGTTTTTTTTTTTGACAAACAGACTCTGAGAGAGACTCCGAGGCTCCGGGCCCCCAGCTGCCCGCAGCCCCGGCAGCCCGGGCCGGCCTGGGCCGGCGGCCCGGTTCACTGTCATGGATCCAGACATGAGACCGCCCGATACAAGTGAGGGGTGGTCCTTGTTTATAGGAAAGTTTTCACTGATTTTTACATTGTCACACCATCGGTTGTTCCAACCCCGAAGGTCGACTACCCCCGAATAGCAACTTTTACACCCAGCGTTTACCACATGAGCATATGCTCCCGACTGGCTCGGGTAGTTATCAAAAACCTCCGAGTGCTATCTGACTAGTACGAACCCAACAAGCCCCCGGCGCCCACCTCCTCCTCCTGGGCCTGCAAGCCAGTCATCTTTGCTACACAGCTACATCTTGTCCGCACCTGATCAGCTCCTCCCCTGCTTGTACCTGCTGCTCCCTCCCCCGCATCCCTTGCATCTCGATCTCACCCGCCCGTGCTCGCATATGCTGCTGCCCCCGCATCCCTTGCATCTCGATCGCTCCCGCCCGTGCTCGCATATGCTGCTGCCCCCGCACTCCTTGCATACTGATCGCCGCCGCCCGTGCTCGCATATGCTGCTGCCCCCGCACTCCTTGCATCCCGATCTCACCCGCCCGTGCTCGCATATGCTGCTGCCCCCGCATCCCTTGCAGACCGATCGGACCCGCCCGTGCTCGCATATGCTGCCCCCCCCGCATCCCTTGCATCTCGATCGCCGCCGCCCGTGCTCGCATATGCTGCCCCCCCCGCAGTCCTTGCATCCCGATCGCTCCCGCCCGTGCTCGCATATGCTGACCCCCCCGCATCCCTTGCATTTCGATCGCTCCCGCCCGTGCTCGCATATGCTGCCGCCCCCGCATCCATTGCAATGCGATCGGACCCGCCCGTGCTCGCATATGCTGCTGCCCCCGCAGTCTTTGCATTGCGATCTCACCCGCCCGTGCTCGCATATGCTGCTGCCCCCGCACTCCTTGCATCCCGATCGCTGCCGCCCGTGCTCGCATATGCTGCTGCCCCCGCATCCCTTGCATCCCGATCGGACCCGCCCGTGCTCGCATATGCTGCTGCCCCCGCACTCCTTGCATTTCGATCGCTGCCGTCCATGCTCGCATGTACTTCTTCGTGTTGGCGATCTCTTCTTCGCTCTCTTTGCGTTCATTTCTTCTCCTCCCTCCTCTCTCGCCTCGTCTGATCCCTCCAGCCTTCTCCTCTTGCTCGACCTGCTGCCGCCGGCAGCCGACATGTCACTGATTCCTTTTTGTTTTTTTGATCTCTTTTTAAAAGTTTTATTGACTGAAAATGGAAAGGCAAACCGGAGCAAACAAGGAGGAAAAGGAGATACCCCTACAAACCCGCCTCAAGAAAAAAACCAGGAAACGGAGGAGGCAGCAAAACCGCTACTCCAACCACGCAAGCGACGGCAGGCACGACAAGCAGGGGAACAAGGATCAGGACAAAGAGCAGTAGCGCAAGGCTACTGCCGAAACAGACGAGCACGCAAATGGTGAACTTGTGAAGCCAGGGTCCCCATACACCGCCTCCAAATGCCACGGTGTGGTTCTGTACTTTTAATGACTGAAAAAGCGAAGGCAAACCGGAGTGCAAACGAACCGGAGAAGCCCCTACAAACCCGCCTCAATAAAATACTAGCAAACGGAGGAGGCAGCACGGCAGGCACGACCTGCAGCACGCACTGTCCAGCCGGGGGGAAAGTCGGGCCGTCCCAATACCAGCAAAACTTCCGAAGTTCAAAGACCCGGTGGCACCCCTTCGATAAAAGGTACCCCAAAGATACCCCACAATCATACCGGTTGTAGAACCTCAGCCGTTATTGCCACCAACTGACTCTCACTGACTCGGATGAGACCCGGTTGAAGGCCCGGGCTAGAGTGCTCCTTGCTGTACGGGCAGACACCCGCTGGCCCTCGCGCGAGCTCAGGCTCAGGATGAGGGAAGCCACCCGTGCTCGGAAGGCGCTGTCGGGCTGATGGATTGTCATGATGCAGTAGCGAAGTGAGCCTCGGAGAGCAGGTAGGTGATTGACTTCTGAGATAAGAGTGTTTACATAGTACCGTACCGTTCCAGAACGGTTACAATTTCTAAGTTTAGGGCTCGGCAAATCTGGGCTCTAATATAAGATCCATTATAAGATCCATGTGATCCAGCGGGGCCGTTCAGCACTCGAAGCTACACGGGCTGCTGACGTCTACCGTAGCGAGTGCTCAAGGCACTCGGAGTCCGCTGGATCGCACACAGAGGTGAAGAGTAGAGGTATGAAGTTACTTGAGATGCAACACAAACATCAACGCTCGTGGCACACACAGCAAGGGAAGGACAGACCCCCTCAAGGGGTTGTTGACGATCCTGCCGAGGCTAGAAATGCTCTTATCTTCTTCCCTGCCAGCATTGCGCTACATTGCCGCCCGATACAAGTGAGGGGAGGTGGTCCTTGTTTATAGGAGAGTTTTGACTGGAGTTATTCACCTTTAATCTCGCATATGCTGCCCCCCCCGCATCCCTTGCAGACCGATCTCACCCGCCCGTGCTCGCATATGCTGCCCCCCCCGCATCCCTTGCATTGCGATCGGACCCGCCCGTGGTCTCATTCTCTGTCCCTTGGTATTGAGAAATAATAATCAATGCAGCACGTGCTCGCACATGCTGCTGCCCCCGCACTCCTTGCATCTCGATCGCTCCCGCCCGTGCTCGCATATGCTGCTGCCCCCGCATCCCTTGCAATGCGATCGCCGCCGCCCGTGCTCGCATATGCTGCCCCCCCCGCACTCCTTGCATGTTGATCGCTCCCGCCCGTGCTCGCATATGCTCCTGCCCCCGCATCCCTTGCATCCCGATCGCCGCCGCCCGTGCTCGCATATGCTGGTGCCCCCGCATCCCTTGCATACCGATCTCACCCGCCCGTGCTCGCATATGCTGCCCCCCCCGCACTCCTTGCATCCCGATCGCTGCCGCCCGTGCTCGCATATGCTGCTGCCCCCGCATCCCTTGCAATGCGATCGCCGCCGCCCGTGCTCGCATATGCTGCTGCCCCCGCACTCCTTGCATGTTCCTGCCCCCGCATCCCTTGCATCCCGATCGCCGCCGCCCGTGCTCGCATATGCTGGTGCCCCCGCATCCCTTGCATACCGATCTCACCCGCCCGTGCTCGCATATGCTGCCCCCCCCGCATCCCTTGCAGACCGATCTCACCCGCCCGTGCTCGCATATGCTGCCCCCCCCGCATCCCTTGCATTGCGATCGGACCCGCCCGTGCTCGCATATGCTGCTGCCCCCGCATTCCTTGCATCTCGATCGCTCCCGCCCGTGCTCGCACATGCTGCTGCCCCCGCACTCCTTGCATCTCGATCGCTCCCGCCCGTGCTCGCATATGCTGCTGCCCCCGCATCCCTTGCAATGCGATCGCCGCCGCCCGTGCTCGCATATGCTGCCCCCCCCGCACTCCTTGCATGTTGATCGCTCCCGCCCGTGCTCGCATATGCTCCTGCCCCCGCATCCCTTGCATCCCGATCGCCGCCGCCCGTGCTCGCATATGCTGGTGCCCCCGCATCCCTTGCATACCGATCTCACCCGCCCGTGCTCGCATATGCTGCTGCCCCCGCACTCCTTACATCCCGATCGCTGCCGCCCGTGCTCGCATATGCTGCTGCCCCCGCATCCCTTGCAATGCGATCGCCGCCGCCCGTGCTCGCATATGCTGCCCCCCCCGCAGCCCTTGCAGACCGATCTCACCCGCCCGTGCTCGCATATGCTGCTGCCCCCGCAGCCCTTGCATACTGATCGGACCCGCCCGTGCTCGCATATGCTGCTGCCCCCGCAGTCCTTGCATCCTGATCGGACCCGCCCGTGCTCGCATATGCTGCCGCCCCCGCACTCCTTGCATCTCGATCGCCGCCGTCCATGCTCGCATGTACTTCCTTGTGTTGGCGATCTCTTCTTCGCTCTCTTTGCGTTTGCTTCCATTTCTCTCTCCTCTCTCGCCTCGTCTGATCCCTCCAGCCTTCTCCTCTTGCTCGATCTGCTACCTCCTACAGCCGACATGTTGCGCTGTCACTCATCCCCCTCATACACCAGTACCTTTGGTACACCATCGTACGTGGCTCACGCCCAGCGAGCCTGTAATAGGGTGAATGCCCCGATGGGCACAGCAGGCTGGAAAGTGGGCATGAAGAGACGAGAAGGAGGAGGTGGGGAGGAGGAAGGCACAGGAGTAGAAGGAAGGCTGAGTAGTAGTAGTAGGAGGTGGAAGGCGTGGAGTAGTAGTAGTAGTAGTAGTAGCAATTGTAGTAGTAGTAGTAGTGGTAGTTGTGGTGGTTGTGGTAGTAGTAGTAGTGGTAGTGGTAGTAGTAGTAGTAGTAGTAGTAGGAGGAGGAGGAGTAGTAGTAGTAGTAGTAGTAGTAGTAGGAGGAGGAGGAGGAGGAGGAGGAGGAGGAGGAGGAGGAGGAGGAGGAGGAGGAGTAGGAGTAGGAGTAGGAGTAGGAGTAGTGGTAGTGGTAGTAGCAGCACCAGCACCAGCACCAGCACCAGCACCAGCAGCAGTAGTAGGAGCAGGAGCAGGGGCAGGAGCAGGAGCAGGAGCAGGAGCAGGAGCAGGAGCAGGAGCAGGAGCAGGAGCAGGAGCAGGAGCAGGAGCAGGAGCAGAAGCAGGAGCAGGAGCAGGAGCAGGAGCAGGAGCAGGAGGAAGGCAGAGGAAGAAGATAGGTGTTCTAACCTTGTGTTCACTCCGTTTCATCTCATTGACACGACTTCGCTTGCTTCCCTTCCTCCTCCATCCTCGTCCTCATTCCACCTCCATGCACAACTCTCAGCCTCAAAATTTTCACAAATCAAAGTTAGAGCGAACGGAGAAAGGAGGAGCGTATGTTGGAAGATGATGGTGGGGAGAAAACAGACAAGGACGACAACGGGGGCCTCTGTTGACGTTGCTTGCTGCAGGTCAAATGTGAAGAGTTCAGGCCAGTCAAGGTGCTCTTGAATGCCAGTGTCAGTGCTCGACGTCATCTGATCTCGAAGATCTCCCGCTCATTCGGGGTTTGAGGACGCACGTAGACGATGGGAGGAGGGGAAACTGACTTGAAGGTTCCTCTGTCACTAAGGCAGGTTATCTACCTCCTCGATCGCTACGGTCTCTCCTCCCTTGACGACCCCACGAAAAGGCCCAAGACAACCGCTGGGACCCTCGTCACCCTCGTCACGGCATTCGTCTCCCTCACCCTCCTTGCACTGACCATCTCGACCTGGGCGACTCTGCAGTCATCTATCAGGCTAGGGGGACATGCTCAGCTCAACGGGTTGTACATGAACAGGAAGGTTGGCAACAGCACAGGGCAGCTGTCAGTGCAGACATGGCAGCAGTTCTACAACCCGTCGTTGGTGCTGACGTTTGACGAGAAGATAATTTCCTTCCAGAGAACGACTGACAAGCGCGCAATCTTCAAAGTTGACATCACTGACCTCAACGGTTATCACAAGACTTTCACTTCCGACTTGTCAAGCACGCCCGTTGGCTTCGCCATCTCTACCAACCATGAGGTCCCGCTCAACAGTTTTGACCAGAGGGTGCAGAAGACTGTAGCGAACGATCGCCCCGACGTGCAGTTGAACTTGCAGGCTACCAGACTCTACTCACAGGTTGTCAACTCAGTGGAGACTTTGCAGATCGTTCGGTTGTTGCAGTCAGGCAGTCTGCTGCAGACAACAGCATTCCAGGATCACTCAGTGATGCTTCTTCTCAGGTTTGATCCAAGTCAGATCAAGACATTGAAGAGATGCCAGCTTTACATTGGCCTTTACAACGAGGGAGAGTTTCAAACCCTTGCCAACAACGGTCTCATCACTTCTGCAAAGTACAGGTCCAAAGATTTCTTCGATGCGCAAGCCAGTAGCGACATCATATGGATTCCACAGAGTTTCGGATCTGACGGAACTTTCAAGTACAACATCAACCTCGTGACAGTTAAGAAGAATTATACGAGGTCGTCTCTTGACGGCTTTCTGAGCAAGCAGATTTCACCAGGAGTTCCTCTTGTGGTCTCGGACAAGACAAACTTCATGGATTGGAGCTATGTGATCAACTACGTCAACAACTTCAACTACACTGTCCAGCAGGCAACATGCGATGGATCTTCGAGCTTCACCTCTACCTACATCCGCGGTGTTCCTTTCGATCAACTCAACGACACTTGTCTTGTCTTGCCAGGTGTCTTCACATGGCCTGACACTCCTTTTGACATCTTGATTGAGTGTTTTGCTATCTACGAAAGGGTTCGGGTCAGGTCAGTATCTTCTTCAGCGGACCGCAGACAACAGCTGTTGTTCATTGACAGAGTCTCCAACCTCTCAACTCAGTCTCGCATCCCGACTGACCTCTCCTCTCTCCTCTCTCCGCCTCCCAACTCCTCCTCGGGCTCCTGGGTCTGCCCGTTGGAGTGGTACGGCGACGGAGCATGCAACTGTGAATGCGGGAGCGTCGACGTAGACTGTCTTGCTGGTATCCGACAGGGCCCGAGCATCGCTGAGACAGGATGTGACAGCAGCTATGCCTATGGACCCTACTGCTCCGTCATGGGAAGGTGTTGGAAGGATTTTTTAGTCACTCTCACTGTCTCCTCTGGCTGCCCTGCCGGCTCCCTCCACCTCCCTGGAGACACCGTCCTCCTCGGCTACCAAGGGGACATGGCGGAGTACTCGTCCTCGTCCTCCTCCTCCTCCTCCTCCTCCTCTCCAGTCTGCGAACAGTGCCCAGGGGACACGCTGTTCGGAGGACGCGCGTACATGATGGGACCGGACCGAAGCATCTTGTGTAACCCTCCAGCTCTAGCCTGGATCCCCTCGGACCTCAACTGTCAGGATCAGGAGATGGGATGGGGGAGGGTAAGAGAGGAAGGGAACGCTAGCTCAGTGCTGCTGCGGGGATGGGTGCGGCAGGAGCTGAAGTTTCCCAGCCCGCAAAAGCAGGGCGATATGCTTCTGGCAGTGATGAGGATGGGGAGATGGTCGGATGAGGTGAGGAGGAGGATGGAGGATGGAGGTGCTTAGGATGATGATGATTGAGATGATGATGATGATGATGATGATGATGATGATGATGATGATGATGATGATGATGATGATGATTGAGATGATGATGATGATTGAGATGATGGAGATGATGATGATGATGATGATGGAGATGATGATGATGATGATGATGATGATGATGATGATGATGATGATGATGATGATGATGATGATGATTGAGATGATGATGATGATTGAGATGATGGAGATGATGATGATGATGATGATGGAGATGATGATGATGATGATGATGATGATGATGATGATGATGATGATGATGATGATGATGATGATGGAGATGATGATGATGATTGAGATGATGATGATGATTGAGATGATGGAGATGGTGGTGGAGATGATGATGATCGAAGACATTCACTCTCAACCTTCAGGTCTTCATCCGCAGTGTCTCACAAACTCCCGAAGGACTCGCAACTTTCTCACTCAGCCCCGGGCGAGCAACAACTTCCTCCATCATCTTTCCTCGAGGAGACCTCACCTTTGCTCTTAACCCTTCTCGCTCCTGTCCTTACGGTCTGGTCGGTGAACTTGCCAGTGTCGTGTCAACTTCCTCTGTCAGTCTTACAGTCCTCTTGCCAGTCAATGCCGAGCAGATTTTCCCTGACGTTCTTCGTACTGGTTTCTATTTCCCCACCATCAGTGAGCAGGGTGGAAACAGTTCGGGTTACGACGTGCATATCAGTGGACGTACTTTCCACATCTCTCAGGTCAGCAGGATGCAGCGAGTTGATTGGACAGGAACAGACAGGTATGTTCAGACGCTGTTCATGAAACAGCACGCAGTGGTCAACTTGGGGCAGACAGCTTTCTTGTCTTCAGATGCGATGCAAGGGTCGATGGTCTTGAACGTCACGAGTGCAAGTTTGTTCCGAGGGTCGAGAGACTTCGTTTCAAGTTGCAACGCCTCTTGCTCTGTCCCGAGTCTGCACGTGCTGTCAAGGGGAAAGCACTTTGTGTACTCGGTGAAGTCGTTTGACAACTCGACGCGGGTAGTCGAGCTTGTTGAGCAGATCAGAGAGGATGTGTACCAAGGAGATGAAGTTTATGTTGTTGCTACACAATCATCGTCCACAACCAAGAGATTCATCGGATGTGACGATGAGTTCAGTGTCAAGGTGTACTCTGTTCAAGAGCTCCTCGTGGTAGGCAGCGGAAACCCGTACAACCCGCGTGACAGGAGTCAAGGAACTTTCCAGGAGCCGGCGGCGAACGTTGACAAGCTCAACTTACAGGCTTCGCTCTTCTTCAACCCCCTGAGCAAGCAGCAGGAGAGGCCGCTCTGCCCAGACATCGTCTCCCCCGTAGCCCCCAAGCCCTCGAAGCAGTACGACATGAACGACTGGGATCAGTGGACCATATTCAGACAGGCCAACGTCAGCTCATGTGCGGAGACGACAGACCTGACGAAAGTTTGTGCGATGGTGATAGAAGACTACCTCACAGCTCGACAGTCTTGCTCGACTCTGATGCCTCCGACGTCCATCTCTTCGTTCAAGTACAACTTCCCTGTGAACAACAAGTGGATCACGAAGTTCCCTCTCAACGACAGGAATGTTTTGAACGACCCAGGTTGACGATATTTGTACTCTCTCCGCTCTTACAATGGTCATTTCTCTCGTTTCCTCCTGCTCCTCTCCTTCTGTTGATTGTCTTGCTATTCCTCTCCTCTCCTCCTCTCCTCCTCTCCTCCTCTCCTCCTCTCCCCCTCTCCTCCTCCTCTCCTCCTCTCCTCCTCTCCTCCTCTCCTCCTCTCCTCCTCTTTTCTTCTTCTATCTCAGACTTTCTTACTTTTGCCTCCCAGAATTTCTCATGGACATTGCATTCGACTATCACTTCATCTACGACTCTTCCACCATCACCACTGACCAAACGTTTAATCAAGATCAACCAGCCGGAGGAGACAAAACTCTCTCCTCCTCCTCCTCCT